CCACGCATGCACTATGCAATCTTGATTGTGATTGAAACTGAATCGGTGTAACTCTCAATTTAGTATTATTAGGACATATATTCTCTTAACTTCTCTTCTCTATCATACCAGAAGGTTGTTTATTTCATATGATTTAATTGTTACCTTGGAATCTCTTATGTAAAACTAGGCTAATTAGGGTTCTGCATACGGATTCTCTAGTTACTTCACAGAGTTTAAGACTTGAATGGCTTTATGAGTGTAAAGAAATTTCTGCTCGCAGCTTGTACAGGCAACCATCTGTACACTGAAAATAATTTTATGGGCATCAATTTTTTGTACAAAATAGTTTAGTTTTGGGTTAAAAATTAAAGAGTCAAAGATGTCATCCTAAAGATGTCATCATACACTTTATATCAGTTTAATTGTATTAATAATTTATCATGGTACTCTGCTCGTGGTATTCATCCGTGTCATTTTAAATAAACTGATCAATTTTTTTGGTATTCCATATATTAACATAGGACACTTCAAAACACTAAATTGGATAAAACATTATTCACTGCTATTTTTAAAGATATATAACATCAGTTTTGTCATGAAAACATCGTGTGGAAAAAGAATTGGCAACGGCTAGTTTTTTTTTTTTGCCGGAAACACTTTTAATTTTTAAATACCTGAAAGATACAACTTTGTGTTTATGATTTGAGATAAGAACATCGTTTACGTCTTCTCTACAGCTTTGAAGATGGTTTAATAGGTAATTTGTTATTATTCAACATGTGATCTTTACTCTCCCAAATTAAGAATTAACGCTAATTGTTATAAAACTCTAATTGAATAAGCTTTCAAATGGATATATCGTAATACTGACCTAAATTGATTCAGCAAGTGTGTTAAAAAAGTACAATGTAAGTTAAAATAAACATTTATTGGAATGACCTTAATAATCCATAATATTAATATTATAATATACTTATATTATACCTTCATAATATTAATATTATTAAAAATTTATGAACATTACTTTCACAGAATATGTATGGCTCAGACGAACAATATGAAGGTGAGTGAAAGTTGGTAACCGTTATTTAAGAAGTTTGGGTCAAGACGCTTCTGCAATAATTGAGTAATTTTATAATTCTATATCCAGATTACTAATATTAATAAAAATGTTAAAAATACAACGTCAAAAAATGAAAAACTTATGATTATTAATTATTATATAATACCATTATTATTATTATCATTACCATTATCTCAGATATGTATATGAGAATGTATACCACCTTCTTCTAAATTGTTTCTATGCTTCTGTGCTTCTTCTTACACAAAAATATCATAGGAAATTTTGGTGCACATTTTCAAAATTGCTTTATTTGGCAACAAAGTTCTAAACGTATGTCAAACAAAACTTTCATCTAAGACATCATGTGTTTAGTTTAAAATTTACCACTTTAGAATATGGATCGTTTATCAACCACTGAATATATTTCAAAAAATTGAAAGTATGAAGATTTGTGGTTTCAACAGGGCAGTACAACAAGCCATACAATATTACCCATTTTGACTCTGTTATTTCCTTCCCGAACGTGTAACTTCATGTGCTATCAATGTGAATTAATAACCAAGACTATTTAGTGACGGGTTGTGCAAAGGATCATGTTTATGTCGACAGACCTAACACTCTGGACGCTTTGCAGTATTTTGAGTACTCTGGAGGCTTTGCAGTATGGCTATTAAAGTCTTTCATCGTAATGTAATCATTTATAATTTTCAGTAAAATAGAGGACAAAGATTTATTGATAATGAATCTGATATATATTGGCAGTGAAGAACCAAATACTATTCTCGTCGAAAAGTGACCATAAATAGCTTGTAATATTACTTCACTTTATTTAAAATAAATTAATAACATATAGTTTTAAATATTTTATCATTCCATTAATAGAAACTATTCCGCATTAAAGTATATATGTACTTTGTTGTCTCATTCAAAAGATTATTAGCGAAAAAATTAAAATAGTGTGAAAAATTTATTGTAAATAAGTATTTTTATTAAAATGAAATTTTATATCCGACTATATATTGGCGTATATTACAGCAGCACATTTCATCATAAACTCCGTTATTGGACTTAAATTTCAACGATTTCCACCCGTGTTCAAGCACGTGGGATTTTTATTCTTGAGTTTAGCGTTTAAGATAAAATTTTCCTTGCCTGACCCGCATGTAGGTTCATCTTTTAAAACATTGCTTGCAACATGTTGAAGTGCGGTTGTTTGACTACATATTTTAGGCGCCATCGTTTATGATGCGGCATTCTGTGATGTTGTGATAAGCCTTGTTAACACAATTGTAAGCATTGGTTTTTATTAAAGATAACTTCGTCTTCCTTTGTAGTTTAGTTGCGATTCGGTGTAAATTTTATTTACATTATTAAAAGGAATAGGAATAAAATCACTTAATAGTCTGCTTGTGGCATTTGGAGAACTATGTTAGTATGCAACAATACTATATTACAGTGTAGCAAGGATAAAATAATATTGCAACTAAACATGAAAATACCTATTGAAAAATATTAGTATATTGTTTTTATTAAAAATATTTAAGGGTACATAAAAAAGTAATCGGAATTCTATTAATTGTTCTACAAATTGATAAAGTCTTTAAGAATAACCTTACAGATTATATTATAATCTTATTGATAAATACTTGGGCTTGATTCCTATTACATAGAAACGTTGATTTAACATCGGATTTAAGTAAAAACAGCTATTTTGAGCAATGGTGTCCACTACATTATATGTCAATATATTTCAGTTTTCGATATGGCTTTAAAGTTAGAAATTGTTTATATTAACAAGTAATGCCACTTCTTTCTACCAAAAGGAAGTAGATATTATAATTTCTGCACTGAAAGGTATTTATTAAAGAAATTTTCTTTGAAAGGTGGGAGCACAAATTTATAAAGTCTTTTAGAATAATCTTAATGATTTTTTTTGGAAAGGTGGGACCATATAGGTTAAAAATTAATTTAATTAAATTTTAAATGAGTTATTCATTTCCGTTTTAATTTCAATCATTTTGTTTTTTCGAAAATAAGGTGAAAACCTCTATATACAACTTTTTATACTTGGTCGAAACTTGGAGACTTAAAAAAATTAATAATATGATCATTGATATTGGTATTTATATAGCCGGGGATTAGGGATTTTTCATCAGCCTCATTATAAAAAGCTATTTTAAATTTATTGTCATATTTGTAACACTGTGAAACAGATACTGGAGTTTGAATAAAATATGTGTATGTTTTATTGATCAGTTTTACTGACAAGATGCAGCGATTTAGTGATAACAGTCATCGTTAGTACTAGGATTGTGCCCATGGGGTGATATACCAAAAAAGATGTTTTGATAATATTTTTGTAGTTCACTTAATTTTTGTGTCATATATATTTATCATATATTTTATCAAGAGTCATTTAACTCTGAAAATCTTTGAGAGTGAAGCTAGAACGGAAGAGGAAAAGGAAGACCGAGAAAGAGATGGACAGTGTCCGACAAGATCTGAATAGATATGAAGGTAATGAACTGGAAGATAAAAGCCACAAATAAAGAACAATGGAGGAATGTCGTAAAACAAGTTGATGACCTTACTCTGAACACACAACTGGTTAGCAGATAAACTAGTTGCCGCCTTTTTAGATCACATACATGAAACTTTATGCAGAGACTTATTACGATTTCAGATAGGTAAAGTTGATACATGAATCAAATATTTTTAACTGTAGTAAGTAATATTTATGTAGAATGACGATATAAATAAGGTCATGTTTATATATATAAATCAAATTTGAAAATATAGCTGAAAAGAATTTAATAAGTAAATAGCATATAAATGACTTGTATAGAACTGTAAATATAGTCTTAAAAAAGAGGCTAAAAATTTTTCTATAAAACAAATATAATCATTATATATAGTTAATGTTTTTTTCCTCAATAATATTTATTTATGTCTCACATCAAATTGAATTAATGTTTTACTTTCTGAAAAATATTAAGCTAATTTTAGTATTGAATTCAAATTTTTATACATGTTTTTCTTATCTTTATTTTTAATTATAAAGTGTTTTCTTTAATTGCTGTACATAAAACACTTCTGTGCTTAAATATACTTTAGTAATTAGAGGTTTAATTGCTTATAAGTAATTATTTGGTAACAATGTAATTTCATATGTTTATATAGATAATATCTTTTCAAAATGACATAAAATATATAATTCATGTTTTATTTGTCATGAAAAAATGTGAGAGCATATGATAGTTACTTTCTCTGATTTAAGATTTTAGGGAAGATTTTTTACACAGAATATTTCAAAAACTTCAAACTTCAACTGTTCCCACCCAGAATAGCTGAAATGCTGAAAGCGTTTCTTTTAGTTGGAGATTTTACAGAATGAATATTTGATTGCTGTTCTTGAATTTCCAATGTTTCATCCGATGATTTCGAAGAGGCTTCTATATCGACTTCTGCATTCGTTTCTGATTCATTGATGTTAATTCTAACATCATCAGTTTCAGTATCAGAGTGTAATTGCATAGATGCAAGTTGAAATGATTCCTGCACATCGAACTTCGTATTAGTTGTTAAATTGTTTGGTTCTGCTTCATTAACCAAAAGAGTGTGCTGGGAGTAAATGTTAGGTGGATATAATAATTGTGGTCTGTTGAAATACGTACAAGCTAAATCAGCAATAGAAGGTCGCAATAGTGTTTGCATGTTCTGTTGGAAATTGTGCATAAAAGTTGATGTCGTTCCAGCGCCAGTGCTAATGCCACGATTCCCAAAGGCAAGCGTTAAATTAGGCGGCTGGTGGCAACCATGTGCTGATATATGCAAATCATGGTCTGCTTTTAAAATTGGCGCTCTGCTAATCTGGTCGATTTCGCTAATACCACTAATTATGTTAATTTCTTCTTGCGACGTTGTAGAGCAAGCGGAACCATTTGATTTTATGCGTTTAATTTGTTGACTAATTTCAAAATCGTTGGTTTCGGGCAAAGCTCCTAATGCAGTTTTATCAAAACAAATTGACGGAACCGAATCACTACTGTTCGTTGTTGAATTGGATTTCATCGGCGACAGATCACTTTGTTGTTGTTGTAAAAGTCGTTGTTGTTGGCCTTCCTGTTGCATATTATTATCATGATCTTCATTGGAGGGTGATGAAGACATTTTACGCTTGCATCGCGACTGTCCAGTTTCACGAAAACCTTTTGCAAATGGATTGTTGTCGATTTTTAATTTTGTGATGCGATCATTCTGTGAATTTATAAAAATAAAAATGAATACATTGAAATATACTGTTTATTTCATTCACTCATTTTAATAATTCCCTCATTTTTTGAGATTTTTGGCAGATATCGTTACTAAATTGTGTGAAATATGATAATAGCGTCTTCTATAAAAGTGTTAAGTAACAAAAAAATGTTGAAGCTGTACTTTTTCACCCATAAAATCATTCAGATTTTAGGATGACTTGACAACTTTGAGACACAGACAGTGAACACGCTAATTAGGCACCGACAAACTGACGTCTGTATTGAACTAATTTGCAGCCAAGTGGCCAGACAGACAGACAGGATATATGAGTACTACTTTAAAATCGGTGTATGAATGCATATGCATGAAAAACTCAGCAAGTGCACAATTATGCCACTTAAATATTTCGGTTGTTAACAAGGATGATGGTCGTTTTCCTAAAACAACAGCACCAATCCACTTTGTAATGGAAAGATGAATGAGTGTAGGCGTGTATTGTTAATTTGTATAAGTTTTAGCTGCTGTGCTTTTGTCTCTTAGCCAATTTGGTAAATTTTTAAAAGCATTTACTTTGGCTAATCAATTAAATTATATGTTTTGGGAAGTAGTATGTGTTTTTATAGGCGATTGCGGATACTGTGGCATATGTTAAGGTTAATTAAATAGGTTTCCCTAAATCGGATATTAGTGTATTAACAGTTAACTTACCTGATAGGCAGTGACTGCTACAAACTCAGTTTCTGGAAATAAGAATGCTTGTTGCGGTGCCCACGGTATCTGCGTTAGATCCGCCGTGCGAATGATATGGATGCGTGGCTGATACTTGTGCATACTCGCCAATACAATCTGAAAATGAAGAACAATCATTTTAATTATTAATATTAATTAATAAATATTTAGTAATTCTAAAATTTTGACGTAATTTTGAAGTAAAAATTTTATAAATAAAAACATAAACAACTAATGCAGGTGGTTAAACGTGGAGCAGTAGTGTCGAGTCGATATTGTCGACTAGGAAAAGTCGCTATAAGAAGTGCTAGAAAAGTCAATATATGAAAAGTTCAAGTACATGTTTACAAACCTAAATGAGTATTATGAAAAAATCTATTGATGTTTTAAGCACTTTGATATCAAGAGGTTCCTTCTTACCATATAACACACCTAACTATCTGCCATTGCGTTTTATTTAATACTTATAAAGTTGGGCGTATATGGTTTTAAATCGTTCTGCATTTTGGAAAGTCATTGAGTCTTTGAGTTTGGAATATTATATTTAAAATTAAATATACAATTTAGGAAATAATTAAGCATAAAAAAATATTATTTTATTATATTATAATATATTAAGAATTCGTGTTATATTAAGAATTTAGTTTCTTTCGTCAAAACGGACGTTAAAAATCAATTTAATATATAATTACTATAGAATAAAATATGAATAGAAATATTTATTCAACTGTCCAGCTTCGCCTGAGCGAATCGTGGAGTATCATGAACATGACTTTTTCCGTATTTTCCGTTGTATACTCAAGAAAGAGTAATAAAATCATGCAATAAATATTGCCTCTACAAAAGAAATAATTAATTAATTTAAATATTCTACAGCTGGCTTATGATTTGTTCTAATATAACACAACAAATGAATTTTTTAATGAACTTTTACAGCAGATTTACAAAATTCCAAGTTTGAACATACAAGTTAAGTACGTCTTTGGGTCAGTTGGCTAATGAACACAGACTCTGAGCTTGAAATTTGG